TGAGACTGTTACTTAAAACTGTGCTTTATGCTGGACAGTATTTATTTATCGCGAGTTGTTCAAATCGCGGTAATCTAATACGGTTTTAATGATAATTAAAAGATGAAACGGTAATACTAACCGTGGGGAGTTTTATCATGATTTATCGTCAAACCGGTAATCGTTACATCCTTACTCCGAATTGCTGCTATTTGAAAGTGAAAGTAAAATGTGCACGCTGCTTTTACAAGCTATTTAAAAGGAAGGAAAGCGAGGAAAAGAGGGAACGCCCCCGCGGTGATACCGTTGTCACACGTCGATTAACCGGTGGGAATATTCCCTCACCGTCACAACCCTAAAACACGCCCCCACATGTCTACGTCACTGTGTGGGAAGATTTGCATAACACCACCCAAATGTTCACGCAAAGAAAGAAGGCGTAACCTTTTTAAGTTTCCTCTGCATTGCAGAAGTGAATTTTGTTGATACTGATTTAATTTGCCTGGTAACAGCTCAAAAATGTCTCCTTATTCTAATTGACTGATTAAAAGTAAGAATTTGAATCAAAAGATGATGCACACTCTTAGAACAAATGGCTTTATAAAGGGAAAAATGCCCATAAATTGTAAAAATCTATTTAAGCTTATTGGAAAAGATTAATTTGTGCTGTGAACTGACCAACAACACACAGAATATGAAGAATATCAAAACCTTTAGGAGTCAGCTGTCCTTAAGATACCAGCACAATAGCACACTCCGCAAAATATCGGCTGATTATTGTTAGCGATAAAATCCCAGAAAATATTGAGATTTTTTTTTTTCAATATCGCACACCCCTACTATAAACAACTATATAATTACTGTTATGTATAACTATTATGTAGGCTATAATATAAGAATTATGTAATCAGAACTGACCTTTCGTGTAGTTGACAACAATGTTATTTTAGTATAGTTGAGATACTATTATAGTTTTTATTAATATTTTTATTATATTTTCTGTTTTTTATTTTAGTTTTTTTTGTAATTTTGTTTGTGTTTTTGTCATTTTTCTCAGTTTAAAAAAAATGTCTATAGTTTTCATAAATTTTATTTTAGTTTTAGATATTTTATC